GTGTGCCTTTCCAAATCATGTCCAATCAACTGAATTTACCACATGTGGACTCCAATCAAGTTGTAGAAACTTCTCAAGGATGTTCAGTGGAAACAGGATGCACCTGAGCTCAATTTTGTACATTTGTACAATGTGTTACTCATGTACAGTACATGTGATTTTTTTTTCTTCTTTGTTTATTTTTAATACATTTGCAAAGATTACAAACACACTTCTTTCACATTGTCATTATGGGGTATGTTTGTAGAATTTTGAGGAAAATAATGAATTTAATCCATTTTGGAATAAGGCTGTAATATAAAATGTGGAAAAAGTGAAGCGCTGTGAATACTTTCCGGATGCACTGTAAGGATGTCATTGAGGCCGGAAGTGATGGATTGTTTTTTTATAAAACGTTTTTATAATGTGATGTATTAACAAAGCTTTTGTGGATGTCGTTGAGGTAACAGTTTACACAATATTGTCAATAAAACATTGTGCCAATGTTTCAAGATAACAAAGGAAGAACATTCTCTCAGCCACATTAGGAGAACGTTATGAGAACATCATTGAGTCCTTAAGTGATGGAATGTTTTTTTTATAAAATGCTCTTGTAATGTGATGTATTAACAAAGGTAGAGAATTTTATCTGCAACATTTTGAGGATGTTGTTGAGGTAACGGTTTATACAATATTGTCAATAAAACATTGGCACAATGTTTCAAGATAACAAAGAAAGAACATTCTCTCAGCCACATTAGGAAAATGTTATAGCCTATGGACATTATTGAGGCCTGAGATAAAATGTTCTTTATAAAAGTTTATTGTAATGTGACATGTTAACAAAGCTAGAACACTTCATCTGCAACATTTTGAGGATGTTTTGAGGATGTTCTTTGAGGTAACAGATGTCAATAAAACATTGGCACAATGTTTCAAGATAACAAAGAAAGAAAATTATCACAGCCACATTAGGAAAAATGTATAAGAACATCATTGAGGCCTGAGGTGGTGTAATGTTTTTTATAAAAAGTGTTGGAATGTTCTTGTGTTTACAAAGCTCTAAAAAAAGATGGTTCTTTAAAGGTTCTTTACACGTAGAAACAGCTCTTTTTAGAACTGTATCCTCCTGAAGAACCTTTTATATGCTGAGACGGTCCTTTGCTTTAGAGTTTAGGATTATTTTTCCCGGCTTTTTGTTTTCCAAATCTGTAACCATCAAAGCCGCATCATTACTGGTTTTCTTGAGCTCAAGACAGACTTTGAGCACACTCTTAAGAGGTAAATGATTAATTTCTTACAATTTCTTACAATTTTACCTTTAAAAATGGTAACTAGTTTCATGCCAATCATGTATTTTTCTCTTTTTAGTTTAACAGAAAATGCATGGGACCAGCTCTGTTCAGTTAAGGATGCTTACTTTCTCTTCACTAAGTAGGCCTAACAGAAATGTTGAAATAATGATCCACGATTCAATGATTTTTCTTTTTACTTTATGCATAAACACCCATTCATAAATAACATTAAAGTTATCCCATGACCTTATATCTCTTTTTCTTTTAACATTATAAAGGGCTCACATACTGTCCATTTTTCTAATTGTTTTACATAAATAACTGCACACATTATAACTCTAAACTCAACTGTGTATTTCAGAAGCTGTCACATCCTACCACCTCGTCATCAGCAATGAGAAACATAAAGATGGACATAAAGACATTGTGAAGATATTTCACTTGAAATTAACTTCATTAATTCCATATCATGTTCAGTGCCAACTGATATTTATTCATGTTTCCAGCTAATAGCAGTTGTTTGAGCCCTGTAATTTTTCCTACACTTTGCCATGTCAATAAAAAAATAAATGTACATAATTGACATATGCTGTTTGTTTGTTTATTTATTTATGTAAAACCTAAATAGAAGCCACAATATACTATAAAATCAGGTGAATAAATAAGATATAAAAATAATATTATTAATACAAATATTAATAATTTTAAAATATTTACTGATATTAATTGAAAATAAATTGTAACACCAGGTCCTATAAACTTGTCAAAGTACTGTTCTTTATGGAACCTTATTAAAAAGGGTTCTATATAGAACCAAAAAGGGTTCTACTTTTGTTAAAAGTAGACGTACCCAATTTGGTACTGTTTAGAACAGGGATGCCCAAACTCGGTCCTGGTGTCCTGCAGAGTTTAGCTCCAACTTGCCTCAACACCTGCTACAAAGTTTCTAGTATGTCTAGTAAGAGCTTGATTAGCTGGTTCAGGTGTGTTTAATTGGGGTTGGAGCTAAACTCTGCAGGACACCGGCCCTCCAGGACCGAGCTTGGGAACCCCTGGTTTAGAACATTTTACCAGGAACATTTTGAGGATGTTGTTGAGAAAACAGATTATACAATGTTCGCAATAAAATATTGGCACAATGTTCCACAATAATAGAGGAAGAACATTCTCTCAGCCACATTAGGAAAATGTTATGAGGATATCATTTTGAGGTCTAAGATGACATAATGTTCTTGAAAAAAAACGTTATTGAAATGTGACGTGTTAACAAAGCTAGAACATTACTAGAATGGCTTCTGCCTTGAGTGGTCAGCTGAAGTCAGCTGAATTCCAGCGTCTCGATTACAAAAATACAAAAGGAAGAAAAATCTGGCATTTGGCATCAGTTCTGAACTGTTGCCGAACATGTTACAGGAGACGAGAAGCACTGATTGGGCCACGTTTAAATCCACCAATCACTGCGTACTTTTCTCATGACGTAAGAACATTTGAAATCGACGAACACGCGAACGGTTCTTGAATCGTCTTATTTGACGGAACTAAGTGAGTATGAAGTCTTTCACATTCAAAAGCGGTGGAATCGGATACAGAGGTGCTGGAGGATGTTTTACTCGCTGGTACAGTGCATGGGCCAAACAACAAACCTGTCTCCAGGTCAGCGGAACTCTCCCTTCCACAATAATTACCTGTACATTTTTTATGGCTTTTTCAGTTTACGTATTTATTTTTTATCTTTTACGTATTTACATACACAAAAATCTATCAAAAAAGTTTAAAGGGGTCATATGATGCTTTTTTAAAGATCATTATTTGGTGTAACAGAATATGTTGACATGCTTTAATGTTCAACATAACAGCTAGATTTGTTTTCATCCAGAAACCAAACTGCCTGCTTGAAGATGAACACGGATGACGCAATAAAAGTCTCCATTTACAACAAAGGTACTGTAACATTAATCTGTTTCTACTTTCTAGGTAGCGTTAATATTGGTAACATTTTATTTTAGAGTTCAGCTCTCACTTTTCACTAGTTGCTTATTAGCTTGCATATTACTAGTATATTGGTTGTTCATTAGTATCTGCATGATCTTATTCTAAATCCCTAAATCCTACCTAATACCTAAATTTAAATGCTACAAAAACTACCTTACCAACTATTAATAAGCAGTAAATTAAGAGTTAATAAAGGCAAAAGTTGTAGTTGATTGAGAATATGTTCCCTATACTGTAATGCAGTGGTTTTCAAACCTGTCCTGGAGGACCCCCAGCCCTGCACAATTTGTTTGTCTCCCTTATCAGACACCCAATTTAGTTCTTGCAGTCTCTACTAACAAGATGAGTTGAATCAGGTGTGTTAGATGACGGAGACATACAAAATGTGCAGGGTAGGGGGTCCTCCAGGACAGGTTTGAAAACTCCTGCTGTAGTGTTACTGTAATATTGTGTTCTATGCTTTACATTTGCTACTTAAGTGTTCATCTGATTATGTCTTTAGAATTTAAAAGTTAATAATCTTTCAGTAATTCATAATGGGGTAATGGGAAAGATATAAGCATTAAGTCTAAGACTATGCGTTTTTGATTTGGTAGTCTAGCAAATATTGTATGTACTGGTAATAGCAGTCGTAGGTAAGACTTTAAAGTATGTCATTGTATATTGCATATTGTTTACTTATTTAAACTTAATATTATATTTTCTTCTGAGACTGAACTTTTTTAACTCTTAACTCGTTCTAGAGCTTTAAAGGGATAGTTCACCCAAAAATGAAAATTCGGTCATTAATTACTCACCCTAATGTCGTTGCAAACCCGTAAGACCTTTGTTCATCTTCGGGAACACACGTGGTGGAGAAGAATTGTTAAATAAAGTGTTTTTTTTTGTATTGTGCCATATAAAAAGTATTCTCGTAGCTTTGTAAAATTATGATTGAACCACTGATGTCACATGGACCATTTTAATGACGTCCTTACTATGTTTCTGTGCCTTGACTGTGGTGGTAGTACCGTTGCTGTCTATGGAGGGTCAGAGAGCTCTCGGATTTCATCGGTGGCCGTGGGTTAAAATTATACTTTTGATTTTTTTACATTCAGCGCAAACAGCTGTTGTTGAGGCTTGCGCTGCCTGATTGTTTGTGAGACTTTCATGGAGAAATTAAATGTGTAACGGCATTCATAGAAACATACTGAGGTAAAAATTCAACATGTTTAGTTTATTTCTAACAT